ATTCTCAGCATTACAGTGGATGATCTGGCTAAGCCACATCCTTGAAGCTCTTTCAGTGTTAGTATTTTCAGCTTTCCTTTGACATTAGTCACATTTAGTAGCCATGACTTCTTGTTTCCTGCCTGCAGAGGGAAATCCAGGCAGCCAGGACTAAGGTGTGCACTGGCAGATGATGAGGCCTCCCAACCCTGCAGACATAATCAATTGGAGCCAGACACTCTTAACCTCTGCTCCTCTAATGCATCAGTGACCCACTCTCCACATTTGCCTCTCTGATCATTTGTGTCTCTTCCTAGACTTCAATTCCTTTGCTTGTTTTTTAACTATTGGTTCTGTCCTGACAATCCTTTTTTCCTCAACTGGGTTTTACTCCTCTCTTTCTACCACCACACATCCCTTGCCCGTGTTTCTCTAGTTTCTGCATCCATCCATGCTCTGCCATGTTTCATCAGTTTTCTGTCTGCTGTCTTCCTTTATGAAACACGAAAGAAGCATGCTGAGCACAGAATATGACCGAGAGAAAAGGTCAAGGTCAGTGGAAAGAAAAACCGTCAGAGCCTGAAGGCCATCAGCAATGTCACAGGGTTGGCAGTGACACAGATGGAGGCAAAGTCTGGGTCCAGATGTGGCATCTTTGTGTCATACTCTGCCCTGTGCTGGCCATGACCTACTTCCATTCTCCAATTCCACAGCAGGGAAGACTTTTCTCCACACGAAATAAATTCTTAAGCACTCTGGGTTTCCTCCTTTCATTTTAAAACATTTTTAATAATAAACTAGGAAGAAAATATTGTACTACATGAAGGCAACTAAACACAAAAGAATATGTACTGATTCAGTGCCTAATGCTGAAGTTAAAAATAGTGCTATTTCCCACAGCTCAGGGCACAGGCATTGCAGGAGAGTTTCTCATGCACACATCCCCTGAGGCCTACAAAGCTATCTTTATTATGGAGCTACCATTTGAATGGAGGCACGCAGTAAGTGGTAGCTATTAATATGTCTTAGGCATATTAACACATGCTTTATACACAATTAGCTCATGTAACTTTCTTGCAAAGAACATTATCCCTGTTTAGTAATAGGAAACCTGAAGCTCAAAAGGACAAAATATCAAGTAACCAGAGTTTAAAGTCACATACTGGTAATAATGGGCAGAGTTAGGGTCCAAAACCAGGTTGTCTAACTCTTAAGAAGAGGAATGTATTGGAGAAACCTGGTACATGTTGCTGGCCTTTCCACTTTCTACTAACAACCCCAGGTACTGACTGTCCTTAGATAATCACACCAATTGATCTCTAGCCTGAAATCCTGTGTTATCTTTAAACAGCTCTTTCCAGACTACTGGATTTTATGAAACAAAAATTGGAGCAAAAGTTTGTAGTTGCCAAACTTTGCTAGAGCAAAGTGAGAATTGAAAAATTAAAAAAAAATATCACCATGGGGGAGGCTGGGAAGGGATGTGAAAGGTAAACAAAGGAGGAGGCTGCAATGCTTGGTAAGAAATGTACTCATTATCTTGCCCATGTAATTGTAACCCCTCTGTACAGTATGTTCACAAAAAATTAAAAATTAAAAAATATCACCAATATGAATACATATCATCTACTATTCCTATAAGTTCACAATAGAGAAAAAATTAAAAAAATAAGAATAGGAACCAAACTGAGAATAATTCATTAAGTTGAGTACCTTGCATTTTATGATACATATAATACTTTTTCACACACTAAGGAATCATTTTTTTTTTGTCAGTTCTAGGGCTCAAACTCAGGGCCTGGACATTGGCCCTGAGCTTCTTTTGCTCAAGGTTAGCACTCTACCATTTGAACCACAGAGCCACCTCTAGCTTTTTCTGTTTATGTGGTACTGAGTAATCTAACCCAGGGCTTCATGCATGCTAGGCAAGCACTCTACTACTAAGCCATATTCCTAGCCAGGAATCATTTCTTATAGATCAGTACCTGTCCTTAATTTGGAAACCACTCTTCTAGAAATTCAGGCCTCACGCCTCCATCACCAGCTCTTACCCACATATCCAGAGTGGAAGTCCTTCATGGTTGTTAATGAACTCATCACAGTGGGCTTAACCCAGGTTCATCTTGCATAACCCCTGGTCCTCCATACCACTATGACTTCCACCCTAGCACATGTGAGCCTGCATTGTGTCCCATTTGTCAGACCAGTAAGGCCAGCAGGTAAAGCCCTTTGCCCTGTGCCATGCCTATCCCTGTCTCTGATAGTCCTCAGACAATGACTGTATTGCATTCATGATATTGTACAAGTCATGGTCACATCCCTCTAGAAACTACCACTCCTTAATGTGGGACTTAACGCTGGAGATTTTCAGTACGGTTTGCCCTTGAGTTATGGATGAGGAGCAGAGGACAATGCAGCCTTTGGTAGGCTGTTGGGTTCTAGAACTTCAGATGTTCAGTAAACAGAGTTCTAGACAGAGTCTGTGTGTGGGCATGTCTTCTTGCCCTCACAGACCCTTCCATCTCTCTAATCATTCATTCTTCCCACTTGGAGGGGTTTGCACAACCTGAAAACAATTTAGAACACAACCCTTCAAAACTCAGGGCTGCAACAGGGTTTCCATTCCCTGAGCCCAGGGCGGAACTACTCAAGGCTCTCATTCTCTCTCCACACTGAAGAAAGAACCAACAAACCCTGACTGCACAGCAGGTTTTCCCCGAGGAGGTTTTTAAACCTTAAAGGCCACATACTATCCCAAACTACTTAAATAAGCATCTCTGTGAGATTCAGGGATTAGATTTTAAATCTCCCCATATGATTTCAATTTACAGCCAAGATTCAGAACTGATCTAATTCAAATATGCTTTCTGCCTCTCTAGCTAATGACAACTCAATTTTGTAGCTGAAGAACATAAAGCCAGTAATGGGTGAGGAAGACTCACATCTACCTTGTGGCAGAATCAGGACAAGAACCCAGGCCTCAAAAAAACAATTACCCAGAGTTTTTTCTTTCCATCACAGTGACTTGAGAAGTGGAGAGTGAACAAACACAGAGAAGAGCTCAAGTCTCCTCTTGGCTAGTCACACATCCTGCCACAAAAGCTTTGATGCTCTGGAAGTAGACTCCATAGGGGAAGTCAACTGTATATGTGTATCATCAGACATTACTATAATTAGTTAAGTCATTTCCAAAACTAAGCCTGGAACTATAGCATAAGGATTAAGAATACTGACTCTGGAACAGTTTTAGATTTGAATGCTGGGTCTGCCTTTCATTAGCTATGTGACCGAGGCCAGTTCCATGCCTTAATTTTCTTGCCTGTGAACAGATAATGAGAGTAACAGTCTTCACCTCACAGAATTATTACACAAATTCAGTTAATCTTCAGACTAAGCTGGGCATATAGTAGGCACTGTCAACTCAATACTATATGCCTAGCATCATATTTATATATATTATATCGTAATATATACAGAAATATACTGAGATGAAAGACAAAGTTCGCATACTCAGAGCTTAGAAGTTGTACTAAGTCTGACACCCTTCCTCAACTTTTCTCCCAGTATTTGGTTATGGTAGCACATGTCTATAATCTTAGCTGAGGAAGGAGGCTTGAGAATTCAAGATTAACCTGGGCTACCTAATGAGACTTTGCCTCAAAAAATATAACAAGATTACTAACAATAACAATAATAATAAATGCAAAAAAGCAAGTCGAAAATTTTAAAACCCTGTTACAAGAGCCATTGATTTTTCCTATACAATGATTTTCTCTGGCATTTGTCACAATTACAGAAACCTGACCATTGTAGTATTTTTCCAACTTTTTGTTTTTGATGTACTAGGGTTTGAACTCAGAGCTTCATGGTTGCTATGCAAATACTCTAGTCATATCCCTAGGCCTTATTTTTCCAGCTTTTTGTTTTTTATTATTTTTTTTTTATTTTTTTGGTCCGGTTGTGGGGCCTGAACTCTGGGCCTGAGCACTGTCCCTCAGCCCTTCAGCTCAAGGCTAGTGCTCTACCACTTGAGCCACAGCGCCACTTCCAGCTTTTTTCTTTTTGCTTATGTGGTGCTGAGGAATTGAACCCAGGGCCTCAGGCATGCAAGGCAAGCGCTCTACCACTGAGCCAACTTCCCAGCCCCAGCTTTTTGTTTTAAAACATTCTGAAGCTGAGCTGAACTGGGCTCCAGTGGCTCATGGCTATAATCCTAGCTACTCAAGAGGTTGAGATCTGAGGATCACAGTTCAAAGCCAGCCTGGGCAGGAAAGTACATGAGACTCTTATATATAGTTAACCACCAGAAAACTGGAAATGGCACTGTGGCTCAAGTGGTAGAGCTCTAGCCTTGAGCTGAAGAGCTGAGGGACAGCGCCCAGGCTGAGTTCAAACCTCATGACTGACAAAAACCAAACAAGCAAAACTGAAAAACGGAAATAATACATGTTTCTTTCACCTCAAGACACCAAGTGTTATTATTTAATGATATTTATTTCTGTCTCTCTCCCCTCCATTCTTCAATATGTATCTCCTATAGAGTGGCATTCTCCTACATGATCACAATGCTACTGTCACACCTGCAGTAAGAGACTGAGTGCTGTGATCCTCTAGAATTCATCTGTTGAAATCGAATTCCAGTATAATTGTATTTGAGAGGAGTGATTAGGCCATGAGCTTGGAGTCCTCATGAATGGGATTAGCGCCCCCATGAAAGACCTCAGAGAGCTGGGCGCTGGTGGCTCATCCTGTAATCCTAGCTACTCAGGAGGCTGAGATCTGAGGGTCTCAGTTCAAAGCCAGCCAGGGCAGGAAAGTCCATGAGACTCTTTTTTTTTTTTTCTTTATTTATTTTTATTCTTTTTTTTTTGTGCCCTTACTGGGGCTTGAACTCAGGGCTATGTGTTCTTCTTTGGCTTTTTTGTTTAATGCTGGTCCCCTAAAACTTCTGGCTTCTTGATGGCTAATTGGAGATAAAAATCTCAGACTGTTCTGCCCAAGCTGGCTTTGAACCTTGATCCTCACATCTCAGCCTGTAATGCGGCTGTCGATTCTTCACTGGGTAAAGAATCTATCAAAACATCAATATCTTTTGCTGTCCGGGCAATCAGTGCAGCAAAAAGCTGAGCATATTCTTCTGTGGGGTTAGCTGGCTGGTCCTTGTTAATTGCTGATTGAATGTTATTAAATGAAGTAGGTGGACCACACTGTTGCAACACTCCAATGGCATTACAAAACTGATCTGCAAGCGAGTTCACTGCGTCTTGGAGCTGCGTGAGGCGGTCCGCCATGTTGCTCCCGCACGCAACCGGAGCTAGAGCCCCATGAGACTCTTATCTCCAATAAGTCACTCAGAAAACTGGAAGTGGCGCTGTGACTTAAGTGGTAGAGCACTAGCCTTGAGCTGAAGAGCTGAAGGACAGCGTTCAGACCCAGAGTTCAAGCCCTATGACCGACCAAAAAAAAAAAAAAAGAAAAAAAAAAGACTTCAGAGAGCTCTCTCCCTCCCTGCCATGTGAGGCCACAGTGCTGAAGATGAGCCAAAAAGCAGGCTCTCACCAGAGACCAGATTTGCTAGTGTCTTGATCTTTCACTGTCCAGTTACAAAATTGCAAGAAACATATTTCTGTTTTTTATAAGCCACCTGATCTGTGAATGATACAATATTATATCAGCCTAGCTGGTTACTTTAATTAAATTTGACATAGATACACAATACCATGTGATTAACAGTCTGTACTACAATCCCCACTTGTCTGTAAGCAACTTTTAGTAATTTACCTATTATCCTTTTATTTTCATTTTTATTTTATCTTATTTTACTTTTTTGTCCGTTGTGGGGCCTGAACTCTGGGCCTGGGCGCTGTCCCTCATCTCTTCAGCTCAAGGCTAGTGCTCTACCACTTGAGCCAGTGCCACTTCCGGCTTTTTCTGCTTATGTAGTGCTGAGGAATCAAACCCAGGGCTTCATGCATGCTAGGCAAGCACTCTATCACTGAGTCACCTTTCCAGCCCCTATCTTTTTATTTTTGAAATACCTTTTTCCTCCTACCTCTAATAGATATGAACCTTTCCTAAAGTACAGTCATTACCCTCCAAGGGTATGCAAGAATGCCCAATTCTCCATTGCCTTGACCTTCTCTTGCTTCATAATTTTCCATTTATTTCTCTCACAAACAGAATTCATTCTCTTTTTTCAGATAAGAAAAAGGACGCTCCGAGGAATTAATTCACTTGGGCATTTTTTCATACAAAGTCCAGCTTATTCTGCTGCATTTTAAAGATTCTCCACATTAAGAATTATTGAGACCAGTTCCTTTTATTCTCCAACCATATTTCTTGTTCAAGTGGGTTTCAGACTCAACATTAGTTTTCAGTTCTCCCCCAATGAGTCCAGCTTGAAATCTACTTTTTGTTCTTGTCTTAAACTTATAAATAATATTTTAAAATCACATTATACTGATCTTACTGCAGATTTTTTTGTTACTTTGTGTTGGCAATGATTGAAGGCAGTATCTTTTTTTCAGTTATTCAATGACATCATTAAGCAAATCCTCCAGATTAAATCATTTTAGCATTTGAATCATTTCACACAAAAAGCTTTCTGAAGTGCTCTGAGTATTTTTCTTCCTTTTGAAACAGCATGCACAGAACATCCTTTAGCCTATGTCTGACTCAGGCTTTGACTGAAAACATCTGTTCTTGCACTTTTCCATGACGCAGAGATATCCAGACATTTGATGACTCCAAATGCTTTCTGTCATTTTTATGATATTCTTTTGCATCATTCACAGCCAGCTGCCACATCCTGCTCCTGACCAGCTCTAGAAGTTGTTTTTCTAATTCTCAGCTCTACTAATCTAGGAAATCAGCCAAGGAACTTGTTAGCATTTGTGATAAAAATAACTAGATCTCAAGGATCTTAAAAATAAGCAGAATTAATAGTACCTTTTTTATGCACATTTAAATGCTCCTTTTGTGGGCTAAAAGTTATTCTAGTTTGTCAGCTAAAAATTATTTCCTGATAAATAAAGTGTCATAGGATATGTATGTCTCACATACATTACCAACAAACATATATATATATATATATATAATTACTCAAAAAGAGCTATGCATTATGTATTCTTCTTGGAATTCTTTAAGGACAAGGGCTCTTTCTTCACATAGAACCTGGAATGAAGTAAGAGCTTTAAAAAAAAAAAGTTTAATCAGAGCAGCACTCATGGCTTGCAGCTGTAATTCTAGTTATCCAGCAGGCTGAGATCTGAGGATCACAGTTTGCAAGCCAACCCGAGCAGACAAATCCCTGAGACTATTACCTCCAATTAACCAGTAAAAAGCAAGATGTGGAGGTATGGCTTATGTGGTAGGGCACTAGCTTTGAGTGAAAAAGCCAAACAAGAGCCAAAGCCCTGAATTCAAACCCTGTGGGTGGCAGTACCCCCCACCCCACCTAAAGAAAAGATTTGTTCCAAGAAGCAATGGATGTTATAGGATAACCTGTATTGGAATGTAATACAAGGTTTTCCAAATACATCCTTCTATTTTAAATTTTTATCTTGATGTTTTAGGAGGTTTTGGAGAAATATAAACATTTGTCAGGCAAAAATTAGTATTAAAATATATATCAAGAGAAATATATTTTCCAAAGTTTGTTTTTTATTATTCAGTACTGAGGCTTGAGTTCACTTGAACAACACTCCCAGTCACTTTTCAAGTAAGATCTCATGTTTTTGCCCAGATTGGCCTTGGAGCAAGAGCCACTTATTTATGCCTCCCAATAACTAAGATTATATAATATACCACCATCCCTGGCTTGCTTTTTGAGCTTGAGTCTTACTAACTTTTACTGACTTCAAACTGTGAACCTCCTAGTTTTCACCTGAGTAGCTAGAATTATTGGCATGAGTTACTACACCAGCTCTTGAAGTCTGATATTTAAAATCTAAGCTGCTATCTATTGAGAAGACATTACTCAAGGAGGTGCTCTGCAAGGTGTGAGTGTATATAGCTTTAGTTACTTAGTTTTATCATTTTTAACTACTTTTTAAGATTCACAAGGGCAGGGACCATGACTCTTTTGCTTCTCTTTGTAACATTCAGGTCTTAGAACAGTGCTTGGCATGCAGAAGTTCTCCGGATGGAAACACTTGCTGCTTTAACAAGGCAACCCCTAAACTGTGGTAGCTTGACAGCCATAAGCTCATTGTGTCCTCATTAGCTATTCAATGTCTCTAGCATGCAGCTTTCCCCCAGGCAGTGGTTTTAATAACTGAGACTTCATGTTCTGGCTTACCATGCCCAGGCTGCTCGTTGTCCTTAGCATTCAGTCATTAGAAGGGAAAAGAATATGAAAAAGATATACCTGCTTTTCTTAGAAAGTCTTGTGTTAGAAATGACACCTCACTTCTACTCCATTCTACTGTTGGTGAAAACTAGCCATTGAAAGCCGTGTGTACTGGTGGCTCCTGCCTATAATCCTAGCTACTCAGGAGGCTGAGATCTGAGGATTGCAGTTCAAAGCCAGCCAGGGCAAGAAAGTCAATTAATTATTGCCAATTAATTACAGAAAAAGCCAGAAGTGTGGCTGTGCTTTGAGCAAAAAAGAGCTCAGGGACAGTGACCAGGCCCTGAGTTCAAGCCTTAGGACTGGCCCCAAATCAATACCACCACCACCACCACCAAAACAAAAAACAATAAACTAGCCATTTGGCTAGGCTGTAGTGTCAGGAATAGTGTGTGTGTGTGTGTGTGTGTGTGTGTGTGTGTGTGTAAACAGTCTACTTTGGCAACTATTTCCTGAGAACATCCCACAATATGGAAAGGAGCCAGATTTGTATTGACAGTCATATCTGCCATAATGGTTAAATGCTTATGAGAGGTTTGGCTCTATTTATTTATTTATTATTAATTAATTATTATTTTGTTGTTGGTGGTCATGGGGCTTGAACTCTGGGCCTGGGTGCTGTCCCTCAGCTCTTCAGTTCAAGACTAGTGTTCTACCACTTGAGCCACAGCGCCACTTCCGGTTTTCTGGGTGGTTTATTGGAGATAAGAGTCTCATGGACTTTCCTGCCCTGGCTGGCTTTGAACTGAGACCCTCAGATCTCAGCCTCCTGAGTAGCTAGGATTACAGATATAAGCCACCAGCACCCAGCTTGTTTTTTGTTTGTTTGTTTGTTTATTTTGTCAGTCGTGGGACCTGAACTTTGGGCCTGAGTGCTGTCCCTCAGCTCTTCAGCTAGCTCTCTACCACTTGAGCCACAGCGCCACTTCTGGCTTTTTCTGCTTATGTGGTGTGGAGGGAATGAACCCAGGGCCCCATGCATACAAGACAAGCACTCTACCACTGAGCCACTTTCCCAGACCCTTGTTTTATTTTTTTTAAATACTTTTGTCCTTTGTGAATTCCTTCCTTCTTGCCTGCCTGCCTGCCTGCCTGCCTGCTTGCCTGTCTTCCTTCCTTCCTTCCTTCCTTCCTTCCTTCCTTCCTTCCTTCCTTCCTTTCCTTCCTTCCTTCCTTCCTTCCTTCCTTCCTTCCTTCCTTCCTTCCCTCCCTTCCTTCTTACTGTTGTCCTTTGCCTCCCCCGCCCCTCAGCCCCTTGCCTTTATTATTCTAGTATTGAGCCCAGAGCCTTGCAAGAAGTAGCCTTGCAAGAAGTAGCTCAACCACTTGGAACTATGCCCACCAGCCCTTAAATACTTGTTGAATGAATGGGGTGAAAAGAGTTCTGGGACTTCCTTATTCTTTGCAAATGTAATTCCAGGTAAATCTCAGGGTATAGAGTTTGAAGGCATGCTATTTCCCAGGACGTGTTTGTTTGTTGCTGTTGTAGTTATTTTGCCAGTCCTGGGGCTTGACCTCAGGACCTGGGTACTGTCCCTGAGCTTCTTTTGCTCAAGGCTAACTCTACTACTTGAGCCACCGCACCACTTCTGGCCTTTTCTGTTTATGTAGTACTAAGGAATTGCACCCAGGACTTTATGCATGCTGGGCAAGCACTCTACCACTAAGCCCCGTTCCCAACCCTTTTCAGTCCCTGTTGATGCTATTTCCACTTTCTGTTCTGGCAAGCTCGGGAACTGGGACTGGACTCCACTAGCCTGAAAAACTAAAACGCTGTATCCACAAAATGTATGAAACAATGCTTTTCAGACACTGTACATCAGACAGTGCAATAAACGATCCCTGAGAGAAGCGAGCCCACGAGTTGACAGTTTTTTCTGTCGGGAGAGTTTTCAGGTCATGACAAGTGAAGAAATGTTTCCGCAGAACCTGGCAGTCTCCTTCAT